TAGTCACAGACCTGAATTGTAATTACAGCTAAGATAGAAAGTCAAGAACAGAAATATAATATAAAGTGGGTTTCCATCCACATTTTATGCACATTTTCAATTTGTGCAGTGGAAAAGCTGAAAAGCTGAAAACTAAAAATTAAAAATCAAAAATCGTTCTTATCCTTGGCTGGAATGGAAAAGATGGCGTATATATAACGCGAGAAGTGCTACTTCTAAAATCTTAAATCATGACGTACGGAAAACATACGACTTAAAGGTCCCATATTTTACATTTATCTGGTGTTTTATTTCAAGTTTTATCATCTATAAGAAGATATATTTGTGGTTTTAAGAACCAAAACCCATCTCAATGTAGTTTGACATCTCTTCTCTCAGGCTTCCCTCTGGCGCTCTGGTAACAACAGGTCGGTGAGCCAATCAGGAGAGAGGATTTGAGCTTTCTACAATAAAGGACATTTATATGTTCACACAGTAGACGTTGATTCAGAGCCATCTGAAGCGATGACTTAATTGTAAGGATCCTCAAATTAATTTGCCATGTTTTCTTAATTGTTTTTCACTATTTGAGGTCTGACTGGAGCTCTTTTAATTACACCATCTTGTCGCAACTTCCTCTTCTCCAACAGTTTGATGGCACTGACTGGAGAGTTAGCGCCAACAACTGTTTATCTCAACAAACAAACATTCACATAGCGAAAGTGCAGTACGCTAGTTCCTCGAAGTTTGGATAAGATTTGCACTACAATTCACTTAAATGGAATAAATACAGAAAATATTAAAACATGATTTGCAGTATTGAGAAATCTTTCAACAGGCATTTATTCATGGCTGAGCTCTCCAGCAAATTTCAATAAAAACTCTTGACAAGTTTTGAAATAGAACAAAAAACAACATGTCCACGGTGGAGCAAAGAAAAGAAAGACTGACATTTTATATTGATTGCAGTAATGAGATTATTTCCTATTATGGACAAAATAAAAAAGAACTTAAGGTTCAATTTTAAAATAATGCCAACTATCTTCCCATCCAGGAAGTCAAAGTCTTAGATACAACAATAGAGCAGCATTAGAAATGGATTTAACTGGCTTGCTTGATAACCACTCAGCTGGGACAACAGTGTTGTTTATTGACATGTTGGCCTCAGCATCTCTTTCAGTAACTGCCTTCACTCAGTTCTCACCTAAAACACACCCACACCAAAGCATTCAGTTGTTCTTTTAGTAGTAGGCCTATGTGATGGTCCCTGGTTACTCACACACACACACACACACACACACACACACACACACACACACACACACACACACACACACACACACACACACACACACACACACACACACACACACACACATCGTGTTGTCATCCACATCAGTGCTACTGTTGTTACCGTGGTCCATCACCACAGATACCCTGTGTCCCTAGCAACAGGTGGAGAGTGGAGGCAAGCCTTTTTTCATCAAAGCAAAAACACGATCCTCTCCTTTTTTTCAGATTACTTTCTCTTCTCCTGATCTCTCTACTTATCTTGTCTGCTCACTCTTTTAATAGCCTTCCTCCCTTCTTTATTTATCTATCTTCCTCCTCTTCACTCTCTGCCCACCCTCCTCTTCCTCTGCCTTCTCGCTTCTTCCCAAAAACAGAGCCATCAAGCTCCTTTTCCTCCACTTCCCTCTACACTCTTCTTCTTCTTCATCATCTTCATCTGCTTCTGCTGTCCTCTCTCCTCCTCCTTTCTTCCTTCTCCTTTCCATTACTCCCTGACTGTCTCTTCCCCACAGGATCACAGCGACACAACAGTCATCTCTGATCAGCCGAGACGCCGTCTCACAACACGATGGTGAGGTTATCATTCCAGCTCCCGCCTCTCCTCTCTTTTCTCTTTCTCTGCACTTTATCATTATAGTCCCTCTCTTTCTTCCCTCCTCACCTCCCTTCTCCTTTCATCCTTACTCTCTCCTCTTTGGCATTTTCTTCTTCTTCCTCCTCCCCACCCTTTTTGACTCCTCCTCTACTCTTCTGGTCCTTTCTCTCCACCTCCCTCTGTCCTCGCTGTGGTACAAAAAGAATCATTAACCTCAGCAATAGCGCGACAGCCCAACATATACAGATGTAAACTCTGAGCGCTGTGTCCCTTCCGAAGGACGTAGCATCAATATTAATGGCTGCACTAAATCATACACACTGTATGTTGCCTTCTTTGTCTGCTGGGAGAACGAAAAGCACCTGTAACACAGAATAAATAGAGAAGACTGTGGTGTGTGTGTGTGTCTGTGTGTGTGTATGTGTGTGTACAGGGAGGCAATTAAGAACAGCTGACTAAACATAAGGCTGAATCTTATAGAATAAAGGTGCTTACACAGCAGCCTTTTTCACGGCAGTAGGCTCTGCAAAGAACACACAAATCCTGTACTGGATACACAGGGATACAAATACACATCAACACTGTGGACTGCCCTTTCAGACATTAAGGACTTAAACTCTTTCTTGGTTTGAATGAAATCAGTCGAGAACTGAAAACTGTCAGAATCTTGTTGACCTGCTTTCAATAAAATATATGGATTTATATCAGAACTTCACTAGTTTCGAAGCCCCGTCACACCAACATTTAAAGGAAATCAATGAAATCAATGAATTAATATCATTAGAGCCAAGTCAATCTGTGCTAATATATTCAGTTAAACTTATTTGCGCAAGCAGATTTACGTCTCTTATCAATAGAGAGTCTGACGTCAGGTCCAGGTTAACGCCCAGCTCCACTAGCTTCTGTAACTCTGTCTGTCTCTCATTCGCCATTTAATTCATCGATATTTCTACAAACTAGAAGCAAAGTTTACTTTCCACATTCTCAGACAAATCAGCATCCACCACAGTAGATGCTATGAGAAATTGAAACCTTTGTGATTTTAACACACAAAAAACTACAACTCCCATGAAAAAAAATGCTACAAGCGCAAAAGTGTGGATACTTCATCCATATACTCTACAAAAACGCTCATTTTGGAACTTTTTAGCTCATTCATGGACTGGCTTCTTCTGTTGAACCGTTATGTTCAGGCTGCGACTCTCTATTCTCTGTGGAATATTGCTCATTAAACAACAGTAAAAAACATAAATATTGAATAATCAACTATATTGGACTGTTCTTCAAAAATAATACTGTCCTTATCTAAACATATAAATCAAGCCACATATCATACTCTCAGGAAAGGTTGTGTTCCGAACTGGATTTTTAATTATTAGCATAGTTACAAATGTCAATGGGGTTTTTTTAATGTGGTTTTCTTACTTCAGAGAGTCCAAAATGGAGGAGGCTAACGTAGCTTGTTAGCTATGTTTCAACATTAATGCTTGTCAGAGCATAAACTGTTCCAGAAAAGATCAAAGTTGTGAATGCGGTTATAAGACAGGAGTTCACTGTACAAATACATTTTCTGAATAAAGAGTGCGAACTTAGCAACAAAGCTTGAAAATTATGTTACACTATTTCACCAACTAGCCCTACAAGTAGTCACTACGTTGCCTTTAGACAATTTTATTAAGTTCTTGTGAGGCTGCTTGTGTTTAGGCAATAATTAAAATTAAATGTTTGAATTGAATGTTGAATGAAGAGCAGGATTTTCAAAAACTACTAATACTTCTCAGTCAGGTTTAGGAAGAGTATTGTTTTGATGTGGGTAACAAAAGTCAGGTATGGTGTTGGTATTCTCAAGATGTAATCCTTTTCTCAGCAGCTAACATCTTATCCCAAAGACAGGAAACCTTTGTCCTAACAAAGTCTAGTCAATATTCCTCAACAGTATTCACTTTTCTTTTCTTTCCTGTTGGGATTTGTGTTTTGGTGGCATAAACAAGGGCTACACACACATACACACAGAAAAACTCCACCCATTCAGCCAGACAGCCGGCTAATGTAAAACTATAAATCCTCATGTCTTTGCCAAGCCCAGGAAAAACCCATTTTAATCACTGAACGAGCACTGAGAAGATTCTTTCCTGCATTACCGTCACAACAAATTATTGCCGTGATATTGGCTCATTTATGCTGAAAGGATCCAAGATGTTAACCTGGAAAACTAAAACTAAATGACTCATCTGTAAGAGGTATCTCTTTGGGATCTTTGTTGATTCATATGCAGACATCTCTTTTCCACAGACTCACTCTATCTCCCGTTCACGTCTCTAATCGTGACCTCCCATCTTTTCTCCCACTTCTTTTCATGTTCACCTCCTATCCTACTTTTTTTTTTCCCTCCACCTCTCCAGTTCTTTCTTCCCCATTTCTCCTCCTTAGCCTCTTCTTGCTTTGTCATCTTTTACCTCTTCCCCCCTTGAGTACCCTCCTTTCATTTTCTCTTTTTGGACCTCATCTCTCTCTTCCATTTCTCATCCTCTGCTCTCACTGGGAATATTAACATATTAACAGGTGTTTAATGCCTGCACTCACACATGGTGGTGTAGCTACAATCCAACACATATGACGAACACACAGAAATATCCAGGCAACATCATAGATTTTCCTCTGTATGAGTTACTTCATTTAGCAAACTGTGCACATTAAACATAAGAGCAAAGAATTTTATATTCAGAACGAATTAATTGCCCCATTTCATTGAGTGACTGAAGAACAAAAAGCGAACTAACCATTTGAGCCCCTGCTATGCAAAGATAGTGCTCTGTCATCAAATCACCAGTTAACAAAGGCTGACGCCGACCACAACAAAAGATCTGCTTTCCATCAACTAAATCCACAAATGCACAACTTCCAAAGGCAAAAATGTGTCAAATGAAGACACGAAAAGAATCAAATAATCATCCTCTAAGATCAAACCAGACATATTTTTGAGAAATATTCTCTAACTTTATTTTGTGTAATGATTAAAGCAAGTAAAACCACAGCCCGTCTATTTCCTGTCTCAGTGACTGAGGATTGTTTCAGCTGAAGGAGCCACACCATGTTGTTTACAAACCCAAGTCAGGGTTAGTGTTTCTTTTACCTTCTTTCCTTTCTTCTTCCGATGAGCCGACTTCCCCGCAGCCTTCTCTTTAACCTCCTCGCTCATTTCAGCAGCTGTGACAGCGTGTGTGTGTCCCAAACAGCTGTGTGTACGAGTCCAAAAAGGTTTTTTTTTTTTTTAATCCAGCATGGATGAGCGGAGAAGAGTGGAGTGGTGGCCACTCTCAACGTGCACAGCGACCAACTCGCTCAGTTGCTCACACCCACTTTCACACACACACACAGACGCACACACACATACACACACACAGACGCACACTCTGTCCGCGAGGAGTGGTGCCAACAAGGCTGCCCGGCTGGAGCGATGGAGAGACGCGCATTCTCGCTCTTTCTCTCTGTGTCTGTGTGTTTCAGTCTCTCTCTTTCTCTTTCACACGCACATACACACATACACACACACACACACACACACACACACACACACACACAGATACGCACTCACTCACTCACACACTTTACTTCCTTCCTACCTGTCCATGGCTGTGGTTGCCTCCCACACACTCCACAAGTGAGAGCAGAGCAGCAACAAGCTACGGGGGCTCGAGTATTAATAGCAATCAATACCAGCTCATTGGCAGTTGTGTGTGTGTGTATGTGCCTGCGTGCGTGCGCTTATGTGTGTGTGTGTGTGTGTGTGTGTGTGCGTGTGTGTGTGTGTGTGTGTGTGTGTGTGTGCGTGTGTGTGTGTGTGTGTGTGTGTGTGTGTGCGTGTGTGTGTGTGTGTGTGTGTGTGTGTGTGCGTGTGTGTGTGTGTGTGTGTGTGTGTGTGTGCGTGTGTGTGTGTGTGTGTGTGTGTGTGTGTGTGCCTGTTTCTGTGTAGAGAGCAAGAGACAAGGAGAGAGTACATTTCTTCAACAGGTTACAAAAAAGATAGAAGATGTGTTTGTCTATGATAAAAAAGACCAAAGATTTTGACTTGGAGATAGAAAACAGTTTCTTTTCCTCCCATTTAATCTCATAATAATGTCTGAAAATAAGTATTTACTATTATTTGAGATACTATGTTAGTTACACAGCTGTTTTGAATTGAAAAAAGAAACATATATGAATTAATAATCAAAATAATGAAAATAATAATTCAAAAGAGTCAGAGAGAAGCAGAGATTTGAATTATAACATCATTATATCATTAATTAATTCTGTATCTTTTCCAATGTGAACACACACATACTCCGAACCATTACTGTCTTTTACAGGCTGCTTTAGTAACTGATTTCACCCGAAATGAATGTCAACTGTCATTGGCAAATTTAGTTAGCTGCAGCTAATTAACGTTAGCTCTGTGAGTCGGTGGAGCTGATCCTAGAAATTGCTATTGGGGAGTCGATACCAACAAAGTCGACCAACTGGACTCTGCTGTGACTTGTCCACATCGACTTGCTACTGTTGCGGCACTGCTCTCCCTCATGACAGCCTACGGCATTTCGCACCATATCTGAGTGAAAGTTAAAGAAAGAAATTTAGTTTGACTGACTTATTAGCAAACGGTGCAGAAAACATTCAGCGAGCAGCTCTTCACTTTTAGCCGACGTGTGAAATTCGCTTTCACAGGTGGAAATGACAGACATCGCCGACAGCAGGTCACATCAGCCGCCGCTAATTAATGTTCATTCTGTGAGTAACTGGATGGAAAGCTCAAATAAAACTTGGCTGTTGACAGGTTGGTGTTTTCTCTGCAGCCGGTGTCTGTACTCAGCCAAAGATTGTGTGTGAGGTAAAAGAAGCATCACTCTGTAACATCAAAGTCACAGTCTTCTTGTTTAAGTTTCATTCATAATCATTTCAATAATTTAGGCTTATTGACTTTGTATTTTTGAATCAAGACCTTCAGTATTTAGGTAATCACAAGAATCCGATCAGACCTGGTATCAGCTGATACCAAATATAGGATCAGGGTCCCATCAATTCTGATTGGACATCCCTCACAAAAATGAATCTCTTGGCTACTGACTAGTTAATATGCTATCCGCATGCTCGAGAAAGAAACACCTCTCTATGACTTTGTTGTTTAAAAAAAACAAAGAACAAGTTATCTATATCTTTTTGTCATTCAACGGAGGGGCGGGTCCGTCTCTAGATCTTGGGTCACTAATAGGTGGACCAAGGTTTTCAAATCCGGACACAGACGCCATCCTATCCGAACCCGGACGTACAACCTAGAAATTATTTAGAATTATTACATTATGACGGAGCGTTTCTATTTTAACCGGCGCATCTTTTCTAGCCTTTATGGCACTGGTCACGTGACGCTACTCAGCCAATCACTGTGACTCGAGTCATTCAGCGAGATATACACACTGCAGAGAGATGACATCGGAGAAATAAGGGATCAAAATCAGGAGTCATCAGTCAGATATCAAACCTGAAGCCTGAGCGACACTGGAGGTCAATGACAATATTGGTATTTGTGAGTTTTAAAAAAATTGATAACAATATTATATATTTAATAAGGATAATTTAAATTTGTTCATTAAAGAAAGATGAAAAATAAACCAGTCAGTGCTCTCTAGAGGACAAAATGTGTAATGTAGACACTGTTTGTAAATGACCTCAAACGTATCTTTGGCATTTCTGTACTGCAATTTCTTGTTATTTATAAACCCAGTTACAGTTACACTCACTTTATTAGGAACATCTATAGCTAAAACTAATGCAGTCGGTCCTGCAGTAAATCCTCCTTCATGAAGGTTGTAATGTTCAGTTTTTGCAGAAGCTGTTTGACAGAGGTGTTTTTTTCAACTGTGTGATCATTTTGGAGGCGGCAGTTTGTGCTGCTGTTGAACTGTATTACATTATACATAGAGGTGTTTCTGTTATTCATTCATATAAACGCAGTGGACAAAATAAAATCAACACCTCAGTCAGTATAACACAATACAGTTCAACAGCAGCAGGAACTACATACGTCAAAAAGACCATAAAGTTGAATCAGTGATATTGGCTTGCCGATTTATTGGTTGGGCTCTAATGAAAAACATTTTCACATGTGATTTACTGGCACTTTGTCATTATTATTAGAATAATAATTTAATAAATGTGGGTCACATTGGTCATTTTTTCTATTGAAAACAAGACTTTTTTTTTTTTCAACAAGCGACTACATTATATTCTAATTCTACTCATGTAGAACTGAGATTCATTATAATATTAATAACATTAATATTATACAGACCCCAAATGCACAATTAACTTCTATGAATAAATTATATAAATGATATCATAATATGAATGTTATGTACATATTATTCATTTACATAATTATATATAATATAATGGAAATAAAATATATAAAATATTACATAAAAATATATAAATTATATCATACACGTGTTATTATTTATTGCTATTTAATGTAATATTTAATATACATCATTATTTGTATAATATTATGTACATTATTGTATAGGCTTATATAATATTATTTAAATAATATTTATAATATCAATATTATACGGACCCCAAATACACGCCTGTGATTTATTTATATAAAATAATCACAATATAAATCACAAATGCTGTTGCTGGTCGGAAAAATCGTGATTAGATATTTTTATCAAAGCCATAGATTTTGAATTCGGCCTCTGATCTAATCACAGAGAGACATTCAGGGATAATGGGGACACAGAGAAGATGAGCTGACGGATGAATCACTGGATTCCCCCTCAGTCTGTGTGAAGGAAGCTGCCAGACATCGTGCTGTCTCCTCTTTCAGAGCTGTCAATCACACAAATCTTTCTTTTACTCTTCCTCTGAAGAGGGAAGGAAAAGACTGACGGCGACAAACGAGTGTGTGTTTATTGGACCAACAGGAGAAGAAAACCGTGAAAAAAGAAAGAGAGAATTGGCCAAGCAGGATAAACATGCTTCAGCCACCCCACCACAGCTTCCTTATCAATAATGAACAAAGAGAGTGAAAACTCTGGTGGCAGATCACTGTGGATTATTGCTCTGTGTGTGTGTGTGTGTGTGTGTGTGTGTGTGTGTGTGTGTGTGTGTGTGTGTGTGCGTGTGTGTGTATGTGTGTGTTTGGATTATGCCAATGTGAGCCAGTTTGCCCAGTACAATTATAACTATATCATCCGTGTAGAAGCACAGACATTCAAGGATTGTATTCAGGGCTATTCATTATGGTTATTCTCTGTGGAGAAGGGCACACACACACTCACTGTAAAGTAACATATACACACACACAATAAAGTAACGTACACACACACATTAAATTCGTGTAGCTATTCTCTTTTGCTGTCACTCTCTGACACTCCAATCTGGAATAAGCTTTCAGATAATGTAAATAAATCCATTAAAATGCAGAGTAATGTGCAATGTTTCACCTGGGTCTGGTAAAGTCAAGGTTAATCAGTTTTTATGGAGAGGGACAAGCTTTACTAGTTTTACTGTAACACTTCCTGTTTGAACTGAAGACTTCAGTCTGACATCTGGTGGCCACCGCTTGCCATGACAACAACAACCATCTGTGTGGAACCTCTAGTCCTGCATTCAAACTTTTGCTTAAGTAAAAGCTCATAGGCATTACCATCAGAATCGAAAGTACTTATTATGCAAAATGGCACCATTAAAAGTGTTATATCTATCACATATATTTTTATCACTGATGCATTAATGTGAAAGATGCATTTTAATATTTTTAAGGCCAGCTAAATTTAAACACTTTTATATACTATTAAATAGTTAAACTATTACTGAGTGGGACATTTTACAATTGAAAAATCAACTTGTCAGAAGTTTCTGGTGGACAAACTATGTAATGTTGTCACTGCCAATAAGCTAATATCTACTCTTAGCTCTGCCTGGCTAATCTAACGGCCTAGCTCTGATGGATAGAAATAGTTTTTGAGTGCTCCGCCAGTTAAGTATTGTATTTCTATAACATTTTCAGACTTGTAAATGACAGTTTATAACGTATCAAAGCTTATAGTCTTCAGACCCAACTCCAACAACTTTTTTTTCACATTCTCTGCAAGACCTCATGTGTGACATGGGCTCATTTCCCCTTTTAATTCTGTTGCTTTTCCAGTGTGAACACAGTGCACT